AATCAAGTGGTCAACCCTGGACCAATCAGATATGTCCTGGGTCCGAAGTCACTTGGTATAAACGTGGCCACCTAGATCCATACCTTTGAGCAGAGAACACTGTAGGTATAAAGAGCATCTTTACTTGGAAGGAAAGTGGGCAAGGAAGCAGTGATTGACATCTCTGAGTGGGGTAAACAAAGCACTATGTATGAGTCAAGGCACCTGATTTCCAGTTATGGCTCTGCCATTAACCACCTGTGAGACCTAGAACGAGGCACATCCCCTCACTTTTACCGTCTGTAAAATGGGGAGGCTGGACTGGATAATACCCAACATTCCTTCCAGCTTCTACATTCAAGCCATTTCTGAGTGGTGCATGGTCAGGCATGGCCTCTGTGTTGAGGAGCTTTCTTGGCCTCCAATCACCCATTCACCCCTGCCTCAGATCCTACCCTTCCTCTCACAGGCTCTCCAAACCCACAATGGAAGGTCTCCAAAGGTTCTCCTACCCTGACCCTATCTGCAGCAACCAAGAACCAATCAACAGAGATGTTCTCTTACTGAATTTTAAAATGCCTATTTGTTTAAGTTCATGATGAAGAGACTGATTGACTGTTTACATTTTTTCTAATATCCCCCTTTAAATAGGGCTCATCTTACACTGCCTGTGATGGTATTTTATTACCATAATAATAATTGCAACAATCATTTATTGAGTACTGCTCAATATTGCTGTGTACCTGGCTCAGGGAGAAGCGCTCGTGCTCGCGCTCTCTCTCTCTCTCTCTCTCTCTCTCTGTCTCTCTCTCTCTCTCTCACTCTCTCACTTTCTCTCTCTCTCTCTCTGTAATCTTTCTCACAACCCTCAGAGGTAGTACAGTTAATAGCTCCATTTTTACATTTTCCTTTACATGGGGAAACGGAGACCAAAAGAGTAAGTTTAACAGTGTATGTCTGAGGTCTCCAGCCAATAAGGGGAAAAGCTGAGACTCCAGCTTAGAGCGTCCACGCTCTGAGCCTCCAAGTTTTACTGCCTGTGGTATACTTGGAAACCCAGACGCACCTGGTGCCATAGAGGACATCTGCTTGCAGAGACCTGTGAGCACATCTGCACGTTTCCATGAAACAGCAGCTGGGCGCTTGGAGGAGCCCCCAGTGTACATGTCGATGAGCGCCCCTCCCCATTTCCCTGACAGAGCATGGCATGCAGGATCTGAAATGCAGAAAGTCAGCACTCTCTTCTTTCCAATGGCTTGTCCCATCTAAGTGTATGAATGGCTCTTTGCCAGGCCTACTTAAAACCTTTTCTAAGTTATGCAGAAATTAAATGAGTTTCTACTGCAGGGCATGAAACATAAAAGCCAAGAAGGTCAGTCATAGGACCATCCTTTCTTTTTCCCTTTCTGTCTTCTTGGATTGCTCTTAAATCCTGCGATCAGTTGCGTCGTCCCAGACCGTGCAGTATGGCTGGGCGAAATGTCCTCTCCTCCCCGAGGCAGGGGGCTGGAGAGCTGACATTCTCATGAGAGTCACCCCTCTCCTCTGGGCACTGGCTCTGTGTGGGATGTGCTCTGAAGTGCTGTCTAGCTGCCTCACAGCAGGGCTGGCTGCTCTGAAATAGGAGCATGTCCATCCCTCTCATGGCAGGAACCACAGGCTCTGATGGAGTGTTTCGTTCTGGAACGTGGGGCTGACTCTGGCACTCATGTGTCATGTGTATGTTGGATCCAGAGAGAGAGGGGTGGAGAGAGAGAACTGAAGGTTAGCTGAGAACCTCATAAAGATCTCCTGAAGACCAGTGCCACTGTGGTGGAATGTCAGGACAGAGACTGGCTTCACTGAGTCCAGCACCAGAGGAGTTCAGAGTTGAGCTTTCCAAGTGGTAAGGCTTGGGGGATATATTTGCAGAGTGCCTATATCCATCAGGGTGCCCTAGGAAACAGTTCATCTCAGGGAGTTCCAATAATGGCATTTCAGTGAGAAGACAACTTACAGAGGGGTGGGTGTGCCTAGGGGGCATTAAGAGATTGTAAGGAACTGGAGACTAGCAGCAGTGGGAAGAAGCTCTTAACTACCCTGGGGGCTGAAAGGGGAAGGGGAAGGGATAGTGTTGCCAGAGGCCACCAAAAGCTGGGGCCAGGGAGGAGGGGCTGCTGAGCTGGAGCTGAAAGAGTGGGGAAATAGTACCCCAAACTATTTCTCTTCCTGCCTCTCCTCAAATGCTGAGCTCCTACCAGCACCTACCTTGGCAGTAGTCAGCCAGCAGGGGAGCCTGGGGTACAATTCATTGAGGTCATCCAGGGGTGGGGAGGTGGAGGGGGAGATGAAGGCAGAACAGGGTACTCAATGGATCTGGGGCGGGGGTAGGTACAGAAAAGGAATGCCCAGCCTAGTATCATTCAAATTTATAGTGCTTCTTGATACCTCTTTGCCCTACCCTTGAAGATGTTCTTATCTGCAGTCTTCTAGAAAGTATTCAGACAATAAAATCACAGCTGCCATCTTTTAAGCCCTTATTATATACTGGGAAGTTTACATTCGTGAGCTCCTATACTCTTCACACTAACCCTATGGGATATTATTGACTTCAATGTACAGAAAGGGATTAAGAATCAGAGAAATTAAGTAACTAGACCGAAGACACACAGCAAGGCTGGGGTTCCAACTGAGGTCTGTCCATTCCTGAAATTCTAGCACTTGTTCGCTCTGCCCCCTTGCACACTTGATTCTCTTTTGGAGGGAGAGAGAGCATCTGTTTTCCAAGCCACTAAGCTGGGGAGGGCAGGCCTAGCAAAGGAAACGCATGTTCAGAAGCCCAGAGGTGTGAGGGAGCCCGATGGGTTTGAAAAGTACAAATAGCTCTACCTGCCAGGAAATATTAAATTGATAAGAAAGATACTACACATGATCTTAGCTAAAAGACCAAGAAGCCATACCTGTCAGGTAATAAAGTGTAAAGGAGGAGACAGGGCCACAGCATGAAGGCCTACTTTCAATGCAAAGGGGCACTGGGGAATCGTGGATGGTGTAGAGGAGCAGGGCCTCCCCTGGCTGCCTCCTGTCCTCAGTGCTAGGTGGAGAAGGACAGGTTCTAAGATACTTTATGATAGAGAGAGTTAGTGCTACTGTCAGTTAGAAACAATGGTGGCTCCATGGCTTTGTTCCCTGGGGCCCCTTTCCAGCCTGACTAGGCCTTATCTAGGACATTCTTGCCTCAAGTAGATAGTCCTAGGGAAGGACTGTCTGCATTCTCAGTCACAGTCCCCAAAGAAAGAAGCTGCTCAAGGCAGTGATGCAGGGCCCAGGTCATGACCAGCAGCATGGAGAGCAGCACTGTGGATACCCTTCTTGAAAGGAACCTTGCAGATGTTAGAAGGGTCCCAGTCATTGTCCCAGTGTACAAAGAACACAGAGGACCAGGAATATTGCATCTCTGCCCTCAGGTTGCTTATAGGACAATCCCGTACTCCTGGCTAGGAGGTACCAGCCATGCTGGCATTTGACCTCGGTGTCTTACAGAGAGTTAGGAAAACAACTACCATAAGTATTTTAGAGAAGTGTTTAGTATAGAGCTTGAGATCATGGGCTATACCTGAATTCAAGGCCTTCTGCCACTGCCTAGCTGTGTGACTTGGTCAAGTTACTTAACCACTCTGAATCTGGTGTTGTGGGTTCCATTTATTTATTTATTTATTTATTTATTTTTTATGGTGACATTGGTTAACGAAATCCAATAAGTTTCAGCTGTACACTTTAACAGTAACTATGTGTTCACCTCCCATAGTGTGGGCTCCTTTTTGAAAATAGGATAATAGCTACCACCTAAAAAGATACTTGTCACAGAGCTGTCAGATGCAACCCCAGCACAGGACCTGGCACATAGTCAACAGGAGCAGAGATTGTTTTTTACTTCTTTGTTTCCGTGAAGGGCGTCATTAGATTGCCCGTCTTCAGATGTGTCCAGAGCTCACTAAATTATGAATAAATTCACTCACTCAACAGTTAGCAGGCACAGTTTACCTACCAGACGTTGTGGTGGGTATTCAGTGATGAGAACTGACAGTGAGCAGAGGATGCAAACAGATACTCAGAATATAATGTGCTAAGTGTTATCATAGAGATTCCTTCATGTCTCCATAAAGAATGTTTATTGAACATCTGCCAAATGCCCAGCACCGTGCTAGGGAAGACAGATAGAGCCCCATGGCTTCCGTGGAACACAGGCCTATGAAGACAGGCGTGGTCCAAGGAATTATAGGAGAAGTGTGGGGGTTGAAGAATTCCAGGGTGCTGTGGGACCCCGAATATGAACAGTGACAGAGGTGGGGACATAGTGGGGGCTGACCTGCCTTAGGGGTCTGAAAGGCCTCTATGAGGAAGTTGTGTTTAACCAAGGACCCAAGTCAGAAAGGAGCAGGGGTCTATACACTTTGTATAGCAGAGGGAATCACAGAAGGCTCGTGGGATGTGGTAACATTTGGGCTGGTGTTGCGGATTCCTCTGGTAGCAGGCTGCCATGGCCCTAGGGAAGGGCGTGTGTGCGCCTCACCCCAGGGCAAGCCAGGTAACCTCTGTGGTGCCAGACAAAGCCCCCAGGGTTTCCATAGCATGCACTTCCTGGCTCCCTGCCCTTGAAACCTCCTGACACGCAGACTCACGGACGTCCTCCAGAGCAGCCCAGGCCTGAGGCTTGGACAGCCGGGGCGCACTCAACAGAGGAAACAAAATTGCCAAGAAACAGGGGTTTGGGGACCGAAAGGCTCTCATCCAGAACTCCAGGATGAGCAGCTCATCTTTGGAACTGGTGCTGTTACAGCCACCAGGAGGCCATCAAAAGAAAGAAAAAAAAATAGATACTGCATTTTAAATTCCTCTGAACCCTCTTAGAATAAAAATGACAAGGCCGCAGGTCTGGTTGGCTGGAGGGCCGTGGTTAATGGGCTTTGGGGGAATAGTCACTCATGAAGGCAGCTGCTCTGAGCTCTACTCACCCTTTTATTTGCTTTGCTTCACCCCAGAACACACCGGTGGGGACACCCATCTTCATCGTGAACGCCACAGACCCCGACCTGGGTGCAGGAGGCAGCGTCCTTTACTCTTTCCAGCCCCCCTCCCAGTTCTTTGCCATCGACAGCGCCCGCGGCATTGTCACGGTGACCCGGGAGCTGGACTACGAGATCACACAGGCCTACCAGCTCACCGTCAACGCCACGGTGAGTTGCCACACTTGGGCCCCAGGCAACCCAACATGGCCTCCTCCCACCTTCGAACAGAGTGACGGAACATCAACCTAGTACCCTGCTCCTCGAGGTTCTATGATGCTGGTGATAGTAATAATATAATGACAGCTGACATTACTGAGGCTTCGTGCTGTGTCCTTGGCACTGTGCTGAGCACTCAAATGGATTCTCTCCGTTAAACCTCAAAAGAGCCCTGTGTCATAAGTATTATTAAGATACCTGGTATACAGATGAAGAAAACGAGGTACGGGGGCCATTCAGTAACTTGTCCACAGTCCCCCAGAAGCTGGGCTCTAGCACCTGCACTGGTAACTTACCCCACAGGACATTCATAGTGCAGGGACACAGGACAGAGGTGTCACCCTAGCTGTGTCCTGACCATCCAACATGCAAGAGCCAGAGGAGTCCTGGCCACTGCTCTAGAGCGGTGACACTTAACACAGTCGGGTGCTCCCATCTGCGCCAAGCACCATGCTGGGCCCTGGGAATTCCAGGGTGAGTTAGTCAAGAGAGAAATAATTATCCCATTTTGTGGCTGACACTGTTGAGACTCACAGCTAATGAATAGTAGAGCAGCAAGAACCCCCAACTCAGGTTGTATGACACCTAGTCCAATGCCCATGACTGAGTCTCTGTGTCTCTAGAGCATCGCAGCCACTTGCCTTTGTCACCGGCTGTTTGCGAGGGCCTTGGAGACAAGCCAGCCACGTCTTAAAGAGCATCCTAGCCCAGCCCTGCTCTTTCCTGCTCCTGGCCACTGCCTCGAGGCTTAGCTGGAGCCTTCAGCTAGTAGCAGGGCAAGTAGATTTGTTTACAAAGCTCAGGCCAAGAGAAATAAATTACTGGAGTCATTCTTGACTCTCTAGAACCTATTTGCCTGACATGCAGTATCTACCCTGTGGCTCTATGTCACTGCAGTAGGGGCTGCCAGTAGTGCTGGGGGCTCTACTTAGCAGGTCATAGAACCCAGATCTCTGGAAAAGGCACACTAAATGTGTGGAGGATCTGGTTTTGAAAGAAGGGGTTCCTGCATGCTTGGTCAAGACGCAGAGAAGCTATAGGAACCAGGAAATGCAAACTGTCCCTTCGTATCTATCCCACTGGCCCCTGAGGAAGCCACTGCAGATGACCCGGACATTCTTTCCTTCTTCCCCTGTTAAGTGTTAGTATCTGGAGAATGCTGCTGTTTGTAAAACTGACTTCTGGAATGGGGGGCCTCCCGGGGCCAGAATCGCTTTTTGCACACACCCGTACCTTTCCAAACTCCCTTACACTCACACATGAGGTAGTTACCCTCCCACCGCTCTCCATTGGCACACACTTGGGCCCAGAAACGCAGATGCTTGCTTTCTGTCTTGCTATTAACGTGTCCCTGTGGGATAATTTGAATCCACCATAAAAATGGCTTTGATGGGGTAGGGAAGAGACCAGAGTTGGGCATAGGCGAGAATCTAGGTGGCCAGGCCTGTCAAGAAGCCTGGGCTCAAGATGGGATGGGGAATACAGTTAAATTGCTATTAATCTCCCAGCAATCAGGCCTTGAAGTGGTAGGGCAGGAGGGGCTGAGAACCCCACTTATTAATGGCTCTCCCAGCTTATCCACAATTCCCTTTCAGAGCTAGCACTGTGCCCTTGGTCGCTGGGCATTTCCGCAAGGAGATTCTCCTCTGTGGCACTACAGGGAGCAGTGTGGGTTCCCAGCCATCAATGGGTGGGTACCAGGGTGGGGAAAAGTGAGGATTCCCTTGGGAACAAGCTGCTGAGAACCGCAGGCCCCTGAGTGACAGCTGGAACCCTGGTAAGGTGCCTGCCCTGCCAGATATGCCCACTTCCATCCCTTTTCCCCAGTCATGGAGTCAGGGGTGGGCTGGATGGGGGCATCTGTGGCAGGAGCAGGGCTGAAGCCACAGTGTGGGATGGGGAGGGCAGGTACCAGGCTGGACAAAGCCAGCTGCCCACAAAAGCCTGGTGGTGGCAAATCAGAACCACTGGCAGTGTATGCCCAAGAGGTCAAGGGACTTCCTGCCAGGCCTTCCCTCTGGCTATCTGCCTGGTGGTCATTCAAGTCCCTGGCTGAGAGCTCTCATCATGGGCAATCCCCAAGCCTAGGCCGTGGTCTTGGAGCCTGGGATGCTGTCTCCCCTGTGGTCCCTATGCCCAGCTCCTCCTGACTTCACACTCTCCCCTCCATTGCTGCACCCACTTTTCATCCCCGAAGGCCCTCTGCTTACTCCTTGGCTGCCCCTGAGGACTCTTAAAACAATCAGAGTCCATTCTCAAAGGTGCTGCAGCTCTGTCTCTAGTGGGCAGGAGCAGTAACTAGGCTCCTAACGTGCAGAATTGCTCCAAATGCCTTGTATTATTCTGGTCACCCCAGACAAACCAAGACAGGTCTAACCCAAGGACAGTTGCTCCTCAAATCCCAGACCAGAGAATTTAAAAGCCCAAGGATCCACAAAGGTCATTGCATTGAGCCCCTTCATCTCACAGAGAAGGAAATTGAGATCCTAAGAAGGAAAAGAACTTATTTAAAGTGACCCAGCAAGTGAGAGACTGAGCTAGTGTTAGAGCTCCAAATTAAGAGAGTTAAAGGCAGATTTTTATGACAAAAAGACCTGCGTTTGAGTCCTGGATACACATTTAATGGCTGTGTGACTCTGGGCAAGTTACTTAACCTTTCTGAATCTCTGTAAACTCATCTTAATAATGCACACATAATACCTACAAAAGCAAATGAGGTGTCTAGCACATGCCTGGAGTATAATCTGTACTCAGCACGAGGTTGCTATGCTCATCGACTATTGTTATTCAATAGTAGTGGGCTATTGAAGTGGGCTGTGTATTTTAGGGTAATAAAATATAGGCTTTGAGTTTCTGTTCCTGGTGAGCTTTCATGGGACTAAGTTCCCAACTAACTAGGAGTGTTTAAACATTGCCTGCCTGACCACAGAGGGATGGCCTGCACGACCTCTCAGGATTCCTTCCTGGAGTCCCCCCAAATGTCACAGGCCCTGGAGCTCCCCCTGCTGGTTCAACTGGAAAAGTTGCTTGATCAATAAACCCAAAATGCAGAGCAGAGGGATGCAGGTCCTAGAGTAGCCCGCTATGGAGTCAAAGGGCCATTCTTCTAAGGAAGCCCCATTCTAGTCAGTCCCTTGCTGCCCCAACGATTAGAGGGGGCAGGAAGTGGGCATGGAGAAGGGCAATAGGATTCACCCTGGCTGAATCCAGGGAAGGAGCTAAAGACAGCTCCATCTTTTACCCCAAGCCAGTCATCCCACCCACAGATGTCCAGGGTGGTCAGGCCTAGGCCAGGCTAGGGGCAGGAGATTGAGTTCTACTCCAGCCCTGCTTTGTGACATTGGATAAGCCACTTTCCACTGGGCCTTGGAGACCTTGTATGTGTTCTTAGATCACTGCGGGTTCTTGAGTTCCTGCACTTCCGCACATTAATGCCCTTCCCTGTGAGAGTGTGGGAGGGCATGTGTACATATGCACACACATGTTTGTGCACATGGGTGTGATGCGTGTGCAGGCGTGTGTGTTGTGTACATGTGTGTATCTCTACAACATCACTTAACCTAAGACTATGTACTTTTGTCCTCTAAGGATCAAGACAAGACAAGGCCTCTGTCCACTCTGGCCAACTTGGCCATCATCATCACAGATGTCCAAGACATGGACCCCATCTTCATCAACCTGCCTTACAGCACCAACATCTATGAGCATTCTCCTCCGGTAAGACCCTTGCTGGGCCTATGGGACATAGGAATTGGGGCCTTGTTTAATGGGACAGGCTCCTCTTTGTCATTTCTTACTCTTCCCAGTCCCTATGTATGATGTGATGGGTGTCCCAGCACAGGAAAAACCCAACCCCCTCTACACATGCCACCTCACCCCGCTTCAACCCTGGAGGGCTCTAAGTAGCAAAGAACAAGGGCTTGATAATACATGTGAAGGGGAGCATTGCAAAAAGATTTATGTGGGGTGATGGGGACACTCTGCCTGAGCTAGAGAGTGGATTTGGACTCAGCCAGGCTCACTGAAACATCAGTGTGGCTCAGCCATGTCCCATATAGGCCAATAGGTCAATCTGCCTCTCCCACCAACAAACACCACTCAGGATGGCAGCAGCTTGCCCTCCGCTCCGCAGGCCCTCCCAGACTTGATTCTTCCTTAAGAGCTCCCAGCTCCAGCTACCCCTCCTAACTGCTTAGGCTTTGGGTTTCTCAAGTACCTATCTTTAAGAGAGACACCTGATTAGTTATGCTCATGATTTTGTGTCATGTGACAAGGTCATTGGTCACCAGCCAGCCTGTAGATTGGCTACCCTTGGGCCACGTGTCCACTTCTGACTAGGTGTCTTTAATAACAAAACACATGCTACTGCCCACTCAGCTATGGTCCAGGCAGGCAGTGACAAGCATTCTTACTTGATAGCCATCCATACTTTTATGCAAACTGGAATAAAACGCCTGCTCTGAGCTGATAAATTAGAAAAAAGATTGCTCCTCTGGGCAGAGGCAACCCCTTGGGGAGCAGCTTGGGGAGCAGCTCTTGTGGAGAGAAAAACATGCCCTTCCTTTTGAGGGAACTTAGCGTGCTTAGAGGAAGGACACACAGCTTTGAGAGCAAAGTGGAGCACCCACCTGAACAAGTGGAGGTTCCAGGCTCCACTTTCACATCTGTACAGGCTCCACCTGCACATCTGTACAGGCTCACAGAATTGAGCACAAGTGGGAGGCAGGCTTCCCTTGACCAGGGTGCAGACCATGCCCCTGAGCCACCACGGGCCAAGGAAGCCTGACCTCTAGTTTGGGGACTGTGGTCTGTCCTGAGCATTGGCATGCCTGAAGTCTCCAGGTGTGTAGGAGTACCCACTTCTTTCTTGGGCCCAGGTTATGGAGTAGGGGGTCTAACAAGCAGGATGCTTCTTGGCCTCCTGTTTCCGGGATCTGACGCTGCTTCGAGAGTAGAGGGGAATGTCTGACTGGCCCCTGCCCCAGCCTTCTCTTTCTTGGTGGTCCATGGACAGCAGGAGCTCCCGCTTTTGAGACTGAAGAACGTCTGCCCCAAACCTCTTTGCTAAGGCCACATCTTCTCAGCCCATGCAGGCTTTCCCTGACCTTTTAGATGAATCTGGTACTCCCATCTGTCCTTGGCCCCTGGACATCCCCATCTTAGCGCTCAGTGCTCCTAAGCAGCTTATTCAGCCTCTGCTTTCCTGATAGACTGGAAGCATAGCTCAGCAGGGATGGGGTCTGCTGTGGGGATAGCACAGCTCAGGTGCTCAGGAAGTGTTTATGGAATGAATAAATGAATGAATGAATGAATGAATGAATAGATGCCCTGGTCAGACCAGCTCTGGCTTCATCCTCACTGGCCTGCAGACATAGCCATCCCTCTCCCTTTTCTCTAGTAGAACTGACTCTCTCTGTGCTGAGAATTTACCACTAAATTATAGTCACATCTGTAATGTTCACTGATGTGTGAGTGGGTCACTTTAGACCTCCCAATAATCAAGAGAGCTGAGTCTCTGGACCTGGCTGCAGGCTTCCTATGGGTCTCCCAGGACTTCCTGTCCAGGGCTGAGTGCAAAGAAGATGGGCAAAGCCAACTTTTTGATCAAAGTAAGGATGTGATGGTGGCCAAGCAGCCCAAGAAACTCGGAGCAGGACCCTACACAGCCATGCACTCACCTTGGCCAAATCACACACTCTCTGGACCGCTTCGTCATTGGGAAACTGGGGCTAATAATGTCTACAACAGTGCCTCTTGCATCTGAGAGTTTTAAGGCCTGGAGATAGCACACTCCGGTAAAGCACCCGGCAAGTGCCAGCACTGCAGACATTCAATCACGGTGATTATGAGTCGGCCAGTCAGTCAGTCAGAGGAGTTGGATTGGGCCGGGGGTCCCAGCTTCAGCTTCATCTCAGAGAACTGATAGTCAGAAAGAGGCTTATTGGCAATGTGAGTGTCCTCTAAGACCCTTCAGTTTGGTTTTTCTGTCATCCCTAGATCATAGCCGATATTGTTTCAGATCTGCAGATTTCTGAGTTTGTCCATTCATTCATTCTATGTTTCATTCTTTTATCCATCCACTAGACATCTATTAAATCCCTCCTGTGGGCAGGGCCTTGTGCTAAGCTACACCCTCTCCTCTCCAGATAATTCCACAGGCTCCAGCCAGGGTGACCCCTCAGCCCAAGAAAATGGGGAGACTTGCTCTCCTTAGCTCCTGCTCTCCTGATCCTCTGTTTCTTAGCATCTGATATATTCTCTCAGGCTCAGAGACCCTGACATCTCTTTGCCTTGCCAAGGTTGTCCTTTTGGCCCCACAAGACCACTGAAGCTTTCTTTCCTTACTAAAGGAAGTAAGTAGGGGTTCGGGGCTTCCCTGGGTGCTCGCCTGGCTCCCCCAGTGCCACAGACTCATCTCCACATCCACACTTGCAATGAGCCTTCCAGCGTCTACCCTTTTTGCTTATTCCTTGGCTGCCCTTGATCCCCTACAAACTGATCCCCATACACCCCAAGCCCAATTTTTTCAGGCCTCTAATTAGTTTCCATTCCTTGATCCAGGCTCTCTATGCCCCTTTACAGTGTGTAACCTTGATTTAACATAGTACTTCCCGGGCCTGGCTGGGGCTGAGAGCACCACGGCCTGTTTAGCCTCCCAGGCTGGAAGACCCAGGCATCCCCATTCCCGCCTTGCCACTGTTGGCCCAGGGTCTCTATTCGAACCCTTGCCCACTCTCCCTCATTCCTCCTCTTTATCTGGCGGCTCCCAGCATGTATGCCTCTCCCTATCAGTGTATCAGGCCAGCATGCCTCATCTAAAGTGTATATATTACCTAATAAAATCCTTCTTATTTGGGATTATTGCATCAAATTTTAATTTCCTCACTCGAGCAGCAGCATGTCGGCCTGCCCGTCAGTGAAGGACCGATAGAAGGTGAAAAGAGCGGATAAACTGCACAAATTACTGCCAGCTGATGCCTATCAGCCCTTTGACTGGAATTGACTGGAATTAAGAACTGAGAAATAGGATTTTCTGCCTCAGAATCTGCTGTGGCAGCTCTTGTCGGAAGTCCCCTTCAGCCTCCACCGGCCTCCCCCTAAAGGCACCTCCCATTCCTGAAGCAAACTGCATGTCCACTTTCAAGTCCTTAATCCTGTTGTGGAAGTGGGGGAAAGGCAGTCCCAGCTGAGCCGGCAGGGAGGGAGGTGGACCAGGACCCCTGAAGCCGGGTAGAGCCTAGCTGGGTTCTGGCTTCAGCCGCTCTTCTGGCCAGCTTCTTTGGAAGGAAGCAGGCCGCAGAAAAAAGGGGGACACATATTTTTTGCTGGAGAAGTCCCAGCTCCTCTCAACTTTGTCCCAACGTCCCTTCCTGGTATCAAGCCTCATAGTCTGGGGCTGCCTCACGCACCCACCCAAGCCCATGCCAACATAGCCCTCCATTCCCTACTCACCTTAGCCACTCAGCACACCTTGTGACTCTGAGCAAATCCCTGAACCCTCCGAGCCTGTTTCCGCACATATACCCTCACCGTGGGGATTCGTGAGGAAAAAATGAGTGAACCTATATTGGGTGCCCAGCACAGTGTTTGGTGCATGGTAGGTGCTCACCAAATGCTGGCTCTCTCCTGTGGGCTATTAGCTGTCTTCTTTATAAATTCTAAGGAAGTGCCTTACCTCTAGGGTGGGAATTATCAATCTGGGGTGCTGGGGAGTCTGAATTTGCTGACATTGTTTGGAACGTCACATGTGTACTGTCTGGAAAGAGGCACCTTGGCTTTCTTCTGATGCTCACAGTGATTCCAGGCCCCAGTGAATGGCTGCAGTCACTTTTACAGCATTTGCTGTGTACTAGGTGCTGTTCCAAGTGCTTTACCTGTATCAATTGCCGAGGGATGGGAACTGTTATTAAGACCCATTTTATAGATGGGTAAAACAAGGCAGCTAGAGGTTGAGTAACTCAGAGGATTCAAACCAAGGCAGTCTGGCAAGAGTCAAACCCTTACTCCCCTGACTGTGCTGTTCTTCCCACCAGAGTCAGGACCCCACAGGCCTATGTACCTTTTACCTTTCTAGGGGGATCCTATTTCCCAACAGGCCTCCTCCTTGCCATGTGGGTTCTCGTGAGGGGAAAAAGCCCATGTCAGAGTGAGCCCCATCTCTAGACCTCCTGAGCCTGCCCACCTGCTCTCCTTGCAAGTGCCCCTGGTAAGGGGCCCAGCTCCGGGTCAGGCAGAGGCCTCACTTCATCTCCTCATCTTTGGAAATAAGTTTCAGTATATTGAAAGTATAATCACTGAGACTCAGAAACAAAAGCCAATAGGTTCCCAAGAGCCCCCATTCCTCCTCGTTAATTCCTTCTCATAACATTTCCAGTCTTTTTGGCTGCACTTGTATTAAAAGCTCAGGATTTTATTAAAAATGGATTTATTTACCCAAAAAGAGATGAAACCCAAACTTTGACAGGAGCCTTTTAGATCTGACTTTGTAGAGGCTCAGGTGTGGCTCTTCCCGAGGAGAGCCAGCCTCCTTGTCGTCTGGACCTCTTGCCTGCTGGCCCCTCTGAGCCCCGCCCACCCAGGAGGACTCCAGGCAGCCCAGAGCAGGAGTGCCTGGGGGCAGATGCACGAAGGGCCACTAAGTCCACTCTTTGCACAGGCCAGCACTGTCCACCACCCCAATCCCTCAGTTCTTTAGCTGACCAGGGGCAGCCCAGAGATCCTTCTGCCAGGATACATGTGGGGCCCACCCCAGATGAGAGTTGTCCTGGTGTCCAGAAAGCCCATCCCAGCAATTGGAACCTCGGGCCAGAGTCCTGCACCCTCAGGACTTCCTCCTGGGGACAAATCCAAGCCTCTCCTAAGTGAGAAATAACCCCAGGAAGGGCAGACTACAAAAAGAGAGCCCCTTATAAGGTGATATTGGAGAACAGTAGTGTAGACCCTTCAAGTCTAATGCAGTACTTCCTAAAGGACCTCCCACGGACCCCTGGGTCTGGGGCTGTTAACAGATGTTACGTGAAAGAGTCTGTCTTCAGATCAGCAAGCCTAGGGACAAAACTTAGCAGGTTTCTTTACCACTTTCTTTATTACTTTCAGGAGACCTAACCATACTGACATCCATTGTGCATCTCCTCGGGTGGGATGGGTAGGTACGTTTTCCAAATTTGATGTGAGTTAATGCTCGTAAAGTGCTTAGACTAGTGCCTGGCATACAGCAACAATTTCCATGAATGACAGTTATTATAACAGAACCTGTTGCAGAAGAAGCATCACCTGGCAGGCAAGAGCGTTTTGGAGCCAAAGTACCTGAGTTTGAATCTTGGCTTCACCATTCACTTGGAAAGGCTGCTTAACTCTTGTTCCTCAGTATTTTCTTCTGTAAAATGAGGCTGTCTCGTGAGGTAGTTGTGAGGGTGAAATGAGTTAGTACATAAAAAGTGTTTGCAGCAGCACCAGGCACAGCGTGAGTGCTCGAGATAGGACAGCTTCTGCTGCAGCTGGTAGTTCACAGTCTCTGGCACAACTTGGGTCCTCAGAATTCACTTCGTGCGATGCTCATTTAACGGCATCTTTCTCTGACTTCTTCGAAACGGTATGTTTCCCCCAGAAGATCTAGCCAGAGCTCCTATCCCCAGTGGAAGGGGCCCAATGGAGGGAGCCTGACCTGCTTTCTGGAAGGTCTTGACCTCTGGACTGTGTCCATCTATCTACGGGAGACGTTTCTCCTAGAATATTCTTACCTTCCCTCAGCCAAACCTAGAGGTGTTCTGGATTGCTGTACACCTGGGCCCAGGAGAGGATGGAGTGACAGCTGTGCAGGGACAGCTGCGTGGGGAGAATGAGGTAATGGACACCACTTCTGTGTCCTGGCAGCAAGACCAGGTGGAATTAAAGGAGAGGTACCTTGCACCCCAGGACCCCACCCTCCAGCTCGGAGGTCCTGCATGTCAGGGAACAAGCCTCTTGCCACAGGAGAAGGTGCGCAGATGGGTGTAGAGGATGCAGCCTGAGGGCTTCAGCCTCCAGCTGATGAATGGGTGAGAGACATCAAGACCATAGGCCCTTCATTATGCATACAGATGCCAGGGTAGATATTTCTCTAGGGGATGGGAACAGGGCTGTCCTGCTGTCCATCATCCAGGGAAAACTGCAGCCTGGGCCAGGACCTGAGGCAGGCATGGTGGGGTGGGCAGGCATGGCAGGCTAGACAACGGTATGATAGGGCCTGGAAAGCAAGGCGAAGGTTGCCCTGAGCAAGGGGCAACTCGGCAAGTGGTGGTGGTGGTGGTGACCTTAGGATCCTTTCATTTGTCCATTTATTTATTCAATCGATCAACCAATCAATTCAATGATATTTGAATGTACCCGTTATACTCCAGGATCTCTTCCTAGAGAGTCCGTTGCTTTCAGCCTCTGCTTCCTCTTAGTTTTCTCTCCCTGGCAAACTCCTACTCATTCTTCATAACCCACCCTAAATCTTGCCATCTGTACAACCCTTTGCCAGCTCCTCCAGGTGGACTTCTGCACTTTGGGATACATTTCTGCATCTCAGCACGCCCATATGTGTATGGCAGTGTCTGTGCATATGTCCTTGACCCTTTGCTGTAGACTGTGTGCTCCCTAAGAGCAGAGACCCCTGCATATCCATCCTGGTAGTCCCAACTCCTGGCCTCTTCTCTCCCAGCTACAGAAAGAATGAGGTATGAGACTGAGCCATTTGAGGCAGTGCCCCAGGCGGTTCAACGTGCCAGTTGCGCTGCTGGATAAGGCATGTATCATAGGGCTGTGGTAGCCTCCAGGGCTGCCACTGTCATTCCTGGAGATACTTGCTTTAAGGATTTATGATACTTTCATTCATAGCGTAATTGATGGGTGATGTTCTTTATTCAGGTCCTACTGAAATCAAATTCCCAAGGTTTTTGTTGTTATTCATATTAAGGTGGGCAAACTGAGACCAGAGAGATGCAACAGGCTTCCTGAGGTCACACAGCAATTTGATGGGTGGTTGAGATAGAGACCAGATCTCTTGTCCTCCTGCCAGATGCTCCCTCATCAGCTCTTCTTTCTTGGGTGGTTCAACCGAATGAGAGGAAAGAGATAGAGGAACGGGGAATAAGCACATCAGCAAGATTGGGCTTCTACAAAGGACACAGGTGTTTGCCTGGGGGCTTTAGTGTGTGTCCCAGGGATGATGGGGGCAGCCGAGGCCTAAGCACTCGGCACCTACTTCCTAGACTGGCCTTGAAGCAGGGCGTCCACCTGGGGAATGAAGTTGTGGATGCCAGGATAGCTACAAAGAAAGAAGCAGCCCAGGGGCTGGGCAAACAAACTCAAGTCCCTCCTCTCTCCCACCCAGGGCACGACTGTGCGTATTATCACCGCCATCGATCAAGATAAAGGACGTCCCCGGGGGATTGGCTACACCATTGTCTCAGGTAAGGCCTAGGCTGTCCTTCGTCCCCCACCACCACCCTAAAAGAGCCACTGTAGGAGTATCAGGCTCTGTGGGGCTACAGAGAGGTCCATGAGTGAATGTGATACAAAGGGACCTGCCCCCCGGAACAACTCTGGCCAAAGGACCCAGAAAAGGGACTTATTGCGTGAAGAAAAAAGGAGCAGGGGAGGAGGAGGAGGAGCTTGGGATGAGGCTAAGATGTCTGGGGACTGCTTGGGTGGTGCTAGGAGCCAGGAGCTTGTGACGCTGTCCAAGGTCTGAGGCATCTGGGCACTTAGGGGCTCTGAGCCTGGGCCATTGGCGACTCCCACCTAACCTCCTGTAGTACTCTGCGTTTTGTTTTTCTTTTCTTACTCAACAAAAAAGCAGCAGTTTCGACATCATTTTAGAATGAATAGAGCTGCAACTTCGGCTAATTTCATGTTCTTTTCACATTTCTGACCATTAGAAATTTATGTGTCATCTGGAATGTAGTGGGGGAACCACCTAAGCCCTCCTCTCCCACTTGCTCTCTTGGTTGAACAGAATAGTGACCAAATGCAGAGAAGGTTCTGGGTGATGGGATCCCTGACCCATGTCCCCACTCAAAGACTGATGAAGTAGCAGCTCCGTTTGACTGTCCCAGGGCTAGTTACTTTGGAGCAAGGGAGCTGGTGAGATCATCTGGAATGTAGTGGGGGAACCACCTAAGCCCTCCTCTCCCACTTGCTCTCTTGGTTGAACAGAATAGTGACCAAATGCAGAGAAGGTTCTGGGTGATGGGATCCCTGACCCATGTCCCCACTCAAAGACTGATGAAGTAGCAGCTCCGTTTGACTGTCCCAGGGCTAGTTACTTTGGAGCAAGGGAGCTAGTTACTTTGGGTCCATGAGAAGCTGCTCACTCACACACAGACACTGTCCCTGTCCCTGTCCCTGTCCTCCAACCCCTACCCATACATGGCCTACCTGCTCTGCCCACTAGTCAATGAAGGGTCAGCCTGGTGCACCTGGCCAGGCCAGACTGATGACCAGAAGGATGGCCAGCCATCAGGCTAACATCCACCCCATCGCACCTCCCTACCACACTCCAAGGACAGGGAATGGCGTTTTGGGGGCATTTACTTCCTTAAGCTCAAGAGACACCAAGGTGTAACAATCAAGAACATAAAGATGGAGTCTTGAGCATATCGCTGTGGATAAGTTTCTCATTCATAAGATGGGAGCAATAAGAATGCCTACCTTGGGTGGTTTGAAAGTCAGAAGACTAAATATATGTAAAGAGCTTAATTAATGTATGTAAGGTACCTTGTAAGTGTTAACTTTTATTATTACTATTATTGTTGTTATTATTGTTATTACTGCTAGTAGCTAATGATAGATACCCTTGGGAGCCTGGGGTTTAGCTGGTGGGAGGGAGGCCCCCTCACCTCTTTGAAAGTACAGGAAATTAGGAGTATTACAGGATCCCTATAAACTGCAGCTGCTGACATGACTATTATTGTGTCTCTAAGCCCAGGGGCCCAGAATGTAGATCAAATGCCAGACAGGATCATGTGCAGAGCAGCAGCAGTGCAGGTTTGGGCCTCTGTTCTCTCCATCCCACTTCCCCATTCTGATGCTCAGCACAGTGTAAACATGTACTTGTACTTGTGGAATGAGTGAATGAATGTGCAAATGAATGAATGAATGAATGTCACTCTAAGTTAGTGGGTTTTCAAACTCCAGTATGCCCAAGAATCTCTGGGGTTCCTACCAAAAATGCAGAGTCCTTGGCACCCATGGAGATGCTCATTCTGCAGGACTAAGGTGGGGACCAGGCATGGTCTTTAATCACAGTGCCCCAAGCGGTTCAAATGCAGGAGGTCCTTAGGCCAGGATGTGGGAAAACCAGTCCTAGGAAGGAAGCCGTTCTGTAGGAAGGCAGAGTCCCCTGGGATTGGGAGGCCTCTCCTGGTAAACAGAGGAAGAGGGTGGCCCAGACTGCTACTGGTCTCTTTCATGAGTTTTTCAAACTGGGAAGCAAAGCAAGTGCCTCCCAGTGACAAGGGGCTTATGCTGGAGATCAGAGGGAACACCAGTGAGCCCCAAGGGTGATGGAATCAGGGAGCCAGAATAAGGTGGCAGTATGAATGAGCACTTGGCTGGGTGGGGGATTGTCTTTATCTCATTGCCTCTGGGCTGATTCCAGACATACCCCAGCCTGGATCGGAGTAGGGAGCAGGGAGCCAGGATCTGGCCTGAGGTCATGGCCAGTCCAGAAATTCCTACAATGACTCTGGGAGGTCATCCTCCAGAGCATTGGTCCATTCCAGGTCTATACTGGGTTCCAGACCACCAGCCCCAGACCCTCAGGTCCTCTCCAGCCTTCAAAGATAGCCTCAGCCAGCTCTACCTCCTCACCCCCACCCCTTGGAGCAGGAGGCTAAAGGGTGGAGCTGAACCTCCAGTGTCTGGGCTGGGCTTGGAGATTAGAGTCTAGGGACAATTGCTTGGGGCAGTATTCTATGAGATTTCCAGGGACATAGTCTCCTGGACCAGGTTCACAAGTGTAAACAGGATGAGAAAGGAGACCCCAAATGTGAAACGACAAGTAGGGGATGTATGTGAAGGCGGGGGCAGGAGGCAGAAACTTCTCGAAGGCCTGGAGCACTTAACACAGCTTTATAGGATTCCCACTGCCAGCACAGATGTGCCTTGAGGGCTTTTAGAAAGGATGACAAATGGGTTTCCTCTCATATGCCAACTTTGATTGATTGGTAATGGCTGCCTAAAGAGGACCGTGAAGTCTAACGGGCTCAGTGCAGTATTTAATTGGCAGAGTCTCCTATGGGTGTGGAAAGGGAGAGGGCAGCACCTGTGGCACATATTTGCTCTCCTTGGTAAGATAGCACTTGGACCACACATGCAGGGTGGCCTTTATGGTCCTTGTATTTGTCGCCACCTGACCCCACCCAAATCTTTTCAGATAGCTTAAGGAAAGGGCAGACCTTCTCTCTTTCTTCCCTTCCCATCCTGAGCACCTGGCTCACTTGGCTGCCCACCCACCTGTTCCCACCCACCCATCTCCTCTGGCCCTGGGCTGGCATTGTCTCCCTGCAAACCAGCCTCAGTGTGGGTCTAAAGCAGGCAAACGGGCAGTAGGGCACAGTCCCCAGGGGAGCAGTTGGCAGAAGGTTAGAACTTGGCCTCATCCCTACTTCCCTCAGCCAGTGTAGACACTGCTACAAAGAATACTGTCTGACAAGTGCCTGATCTCACATACCTGCCTCTCTCATGACACTAAGTCCCAGCCTTTTACTGGGAGATTTGGCCAGTGCCTGTTTGCCTTGAAGCAGGAAGAGAAGATGCCCCAAAAGGGCACTTTATGCTGACTGCCCCCAAGCTGGCCCTGAGTGCTTCAGCTCTAGGTGCTTTGAAATCATTTTCATTTGAAAGACTGAATGGACGGAGGGCCTCTGGGGCTCCCAGAGCCAGGTGCAAGTGCTGAGGGCCACTTTGGGTGGCCAAATCTCTGGGTGCTTCCAGAGCCTGAGCAGGGGCTGCCTCAGACAGCACATGGGTGGACACAGGCCTGAGCCCACAGTGATCCACGGCACATGGTTAACCTGTCCAGCTCCCTGTGGCCTCGTACCCTCTGGGCTGTTTATCAGCCCTGCAGCTAGGGGATTTATGACTGCACACCAGTGCTTTACCCATTACTAATGACCCCTCTGTTTTGCCAAGAACAAAGAGGCCTTCAGAGGTAAGTTACAGCTTCATTGCCATCAATTTGTTCTCAGCCTCTTGTGGCCAATCTGAGACTGAAGAATGACAAGGTTCTTTTCCACAGAGGACCTGGCATGGACTCCATCCTTTCCCTGGGCCTATGCCTGTCCTGATACTCACCAAGGGCATCACTTCCTCTGGAGCCATAATGGTGCTGCAGCCTTCATCTCCAAGAGCCAGCCTAGCCTGTGGTCTGAACAGAGACTCTCCTCTGCCAGACAAAGCCATTCTTGCTTCAGGGGACAGCCATGCCCCACTTTACCACAGAGCACTGGAGTTGGAGTCCAGAGTTGTGGGTTTGAGGTCCAGCCTGCCACCTACATCAGTGTGTCCACACAAGGCATTTAACATCATAATTTTCATCCAGGAAACACCGTGAATCATCTCTAAGGCAGATAAGATGGTGCCAGAGAGACTCTAAAGAGCCATAAAATATTAAGCATTATTATCAAGGAAAGATCAGGGCCAAGGGTCCTTGGGAGTCCTATTCACTCATTTCTTCCTTCACTCACTTAAGGAGAGAAGTGATTGAGAGTGCAAGCTCTAGGGCCACTGTCAAGGGTGGTGACCACTAACTGTGCTGGCCAATACAGTTGCCCATGTGGCTATGGAGCACCTGAAATATGGCGAGTCTGCCTTGAGATGTGCTGTAAATGTAACCCACAGGATTTTGAAGACTTAGTATGCAAAATACATTGTAAAATATCTCATTAATATGTCTTATATTGATGACATGTTGAAATGATATTTTAGATACACTGGGCTAAATACAACATATTATTAAAATTAATTCACATATTTATTTTTTCTTTTAATGTGGCTACTAGAGAATTTAAAATAATACATGTGGCTCACATTCTATTTCTTTGGGAAGCTCTATTTCTATTCCCAACTTAGACTGCCTCAGCTTGCCTTCTACCATTGACCAGCTGTGTAACCTGAGCATCAGTTTTCCAATCGGTAAATGAAGGTAATAATAGCCCATGACTCACAGGGATGCTATGAAGATTCAGTGAACTAAGATGTGTTAGCACTTAGAAGAATGCCTGTATTTACAGTAAATGCTCTACAAAAAGGACTCTTGCTATCCACCCACGGTGGGTTGAGGGTCTTCTCTGGGCCAAGAGCCATACTAATGTCCTGAGAGCTGACTGGGTGTGGGGGGTGGTGAGGCACCTTCTCAACTTCAGGAACCTGCAGTGCAGCCAGGGAGACAGACCGCGATGCCCTGGTG